AAAGAATAATTTTATCATCATTCCTGGGAAAATTCTGACTGAAAGAACATTACATATTAACAGATAATTAGGCAAAGAATAGTTTAAGGCACAAATGGTAATAATTATACATACATTCCACAGCAAAAGGCCAAAATTATAGTTAGTATGAATTTATAACAAACAAACTGAAACTGTTTAAATGCATGAATTGTTATTGAAATCAAAATAAAAAAGCTGAATTTTCTACCTTTCACATGTGACAAAGAGTTCATCAAGGTTTGGACCACCCCAGCAACAAGACGTCACCTTAGCAACAGGTAAAACTACTTCACGAATGACGTCACCAGTAACTGGATTGAAACAAACAACCTAGTACATGAAAATAGCATGAGATTTAATTCATAAGGCTTACTGTATGCTTCCATGTTGATGTAGTTGTATTAAAAGATAAGGGCAAGGTCAGTTAGCCAAGTACAAATATTTCCTTCTAGAGAATTAGCCCTATGTCTGGCCTTGTAACATTGCCACACTGAAAATTATAACATATTGCATATTTTCACAAAATTTTGCACCTTACATAAACGATGCACTTGACTTACTTTCCATCCATCATACATAGCAACCCAAAGCATTCCTTCTGCATCTATTGTCATCCCATCTGGAAACTAAATTTAGTGTGTTCATTACAAAATAGCTAGCACACTACATTAATATATAGATTTAGGCCAGCCTAAAGGCGTAGCTCCTGAGCCGGGTTGTTCAGAGCCAAATAATCCAGGAAAAGGTAAAATTTCGATTTGATTTTTGTAACTTTGCGCTGAGGTTTTCTGTATATTGTTTGGCCTTCTGTTGTGAGTTTTAATAATCACTATACACACAAAACAAAGCAGCAAAAAACATTTGTATAGAAGAAAAAGTTATAATTCAGTTAACTTTTAATCCTGGGTTAGCGTTAACCAGCTACCGAATAATCCTGCACAGTTTTCAACAACTTAACCTCAGATGAGTCGCCGATCCAATCGAAAACTAGCACTTGATCAGCGGTCAACTTCAAACAAACACGTGACCTCGATGAGCTTTAAACTTGAGCCCGCGATATGGTCACGTGATACTGGTCAGTGGATACCTTGTTTTGACAGGTATCAATTGATCATAACATGGATGTCCAATATCAAAGAAGTACACGGTAAATCAAGGCTGCATGTCTCAGTCAACCGATTATTTGGAGTATGGCCGCCATGTTGCGCGACTCCGTCGTCGTCGTCGTCGCCGTCATGCGTACACGCCCACGAGCAATACCGCTAGCCATGATGACCATGGGAAAATCAACTCATGGGTTTCCTTTTCTTTCCTATATGAGTATGGGCCTCCGCTTGGCGACCCTTCGGGCCGCCGGAGCTCCGCTATTACATGTATCATTACATGTCATTATGTCATGTAATAAATTAACTTATAATTCACACATGAGTTCACACCTCACAAATGTGTTGCATCGGACAGTAAATAAATTTCTGCAATTTTATCAATCAAATTAATGACAACCTACAGCACTTGATGGTTATTAATTAGGAGTATATACATGTAATACATATATATGTACATACATACATGTAATAATTAAAAAAGTTAAAAGAATGGTGAATTATCAATGTCAATTCTTAGTTTCTTGGTTGTACACACTGTATTAAGGTACAGGTAAAGTCTGCATACAAGCCAAGTGGCCCACCAGGCCAGAACTTATCCTGGTTTCTGTAGCATGAAGTGATTAGGAATATTTCTACTCCCAACTGACAAGGATGCTAGTCCATCGCAGGGTCACCCGCAGCATTAAATT